ATATATATATATATATATATATATATATATATATATATATATATATATATATATATAATCCTTGTCGAAGAAGGTGCTCCAAGGAGAATATAATGCAACTCCGTGACGCAGTGGATTGACGTGACGTCTAGGAGCAATCCGTTCTGTTTTGGCATATTGATCGCAGCGCTATTGTAAGTTACATCGGGTAAAACACTGTCATCTGGATTTGTAATTTAATTATTAAATTGCTGAAAAAAAGCGAAATTGAACGTTGGAATGAAAAAATGGTGATGAAAAAATAAAAACATTTCCGGAGCCCAGTTTTTAGATTGATTAAGGGGAGTAGTCGTGGCGAAGCATCGTGTTAGAAATAGTTCCCATGTAACGTATATAACGTGAGTAAAATGTGAAAATAAACCACCAACGGCGTTACAATCCATATCTACAGAACTTTTTTTTTAACAGGAACATAAACATCCCAGGTTTACTTCGTACCTGCAAGTTTGAAGTTCTTGTTGACGTGGCATGCCTGCATGTTTACTTCAAATCAATTATGCAATATTATAGAGTGCCCCGTGATAACGACAGTCGTTCGTATCTTCACTCTGAGTCAATACAAGATAGCGTGTTTCAATCAATGTTTATCACTAAAATATTAAACAATGAGATAATATATCATTTCAAAGGACTGGGTGAGTGGCACTCATACTAAAGTAATTTTATTTCCATTAAGAACAATAACTGCGTGTGACCGAAGCCAAAAATAAAGCATCGGCTTTATTTCTTTTGCACAAATTTTCCGTACACGTCTATGTTTAACATGTCGACTGGTCGACATACTGTTTAAACAAAATAATACGGGCATATTTTAATAACTAATGTAGCCACAACGAGACGCCTTATAAGTACTTAAAATTAAACTTATTGCAAATTAGTTTATTTTAGACTTATTACTGATTTTGGGGGATCTCGTAGAGTTTGGAAAATAGTGTTATTTTAAAATTTAAGTGAGAAATCATGCGATTTGGGGGGGGGTGTTGGGGAGAGCTAGTAAGATCGCGCCTGTGTCGGATATTGAGCAGATCTCATCCCTCCATGCAAAATTACGCAGCGCCGCCTCTCACCATACGGTAATTCAGTTTTAAATTACCGTGCCCATTATCTAAACGTGATATTGATATTTAAATTGTACTCTCAGCGCAACAAATGCGTTCCTTGCAGCTTTATTTATATTTATTCATTTCTATGGAAGTTGAATCCGAACCAGCCCAATTAACGAGCACACTGTGCAACGACGTCATTATAAATATTAATATTAATAAGTTATACCGGTCAATTAATTGAATATCTTATTGTCAGTATCTTAGAAGAAAATGGTAAACTGAATTGTCTGTTCACCTGTGAAAGCCAGAGCTGAATGTCACTAATGTCTTAGCAACATTCACCAACAAGAAAGCATTACTCAATTTTATTTTTTGTGTATTTTGAATTTTCGAGAGTTATCAAGATTTTTGACCGCATTTCACGTAAACAATATAATAGCTTACATAAAGAATCTGAAGAATGAGCGTCTAACTTCAAAACAACAATATCGCATGTGTGCGGACAGTTGCCTGGGATACGGGTTGATGTATGGAATCCCTGGCATAAAGTCAGAACTTGCTGGAACGTGTCCAGCAAATTTTGTTTTAAAATTTTTACTTTTTTTTCAAATACCCACCTTTTCTTTAGCCGGAATTAATTTTCGCTGAAAAGACTGACGTTTTGGCTGTTATTTATGAAGTTTATTTTCACTGGTTTTTGACGAGTTGAATTTAAAATTTAGAAATATGAAAAAAGGGTAGTTTCACTGGATTTTATTGTCGCTGATTCGTCCGTTGAACGAAAATAATTTCCAAGTTGAAATAAAATCAAGGTTTTACGTTTTTACGTACATCAAATTTAATGTTATTCATTCCAAGTGCAATATTTACATCATAAGTTCTAAGAAAACTTATTTTAACGTCTTAACTATACATTTTGGGTTGCATATCCTCTCAGATGCGACGTTGCTGTCACCTGCTTTGGCGTAGTAACACGCCACCCCGCTTTCAATGCTGCTCTACCCATGTTAAATAGTGTCACCCGGGCTAAATAACTATTCTCGGCTTGGTTGATCGTTACTGCGCAGCCATTGTCCCTCGTCAGCTGTTGGTCGTTGGGGTCTGCTGCAGCAAACATTTTTAATTTGGGGTATTGAAAATGTTTCGGTAAGGGATTTAGTAACGACACTGACAGAAACTAAAGGTATTCTACAGCATTTTGTTTCAGAGATGTCAGTTCGAATGAGCGGTATATGCCTGATATTCGCTGATTTTTTGTGATCGATTTGTTAAAGGTCTAAGCTATTGACAACAATGCCGAGTTGTCATACTAGTATCCTGCTTTTTGTAACTCGCATTTTCTCGGTCACTACTACTGCTTGACACTCGTTTAATCATACTTTTAGGTAGCGAGGCTCAATAGCGTGTGAAGATGGTTGTAAAACGTACAGGCGATGGACAAGATGGCTCCTCGAAGTTTCCAGGTTATGGCAAAGGAAGGGCGCCACTGATCGAATTTGTTGAACTTAAAGACATTGAATTTGAAATCGATGAAGTGTTGAGGCCACCAGAAACCGATGACACTCCCGTGCAAAATGGCACTGTACCAAATGGACATGTTCCCAATGGCAAGGTCCCCAATGGCAAGGTTCGCAACGGTTCTGTTGCAAATGGAGATATTCCGGAACTGCACGAAATTGACGTAGAAAAATTGCCACCGTCGACGGAAACCAGTGTGTTGATCAAAACTCCATACGAGAAGGACGATGTATCAACGACACCACCGCCTGTTGACAGGTAAACGCTATTAATAAGTATATTATAATGCGAAATCTGTCTGCTAACCCAATTTGTACTGCGTAATGTAGCGTATGGTCGGATTGAGAAAAAAATTTGTATTAACTTGGAAAGTATTATAGTGAGGTCATGTTTTTCGCACACCGCAACATTTCTTTTTTAAAACAAAGCAGCGTTTTTCGGTGACCTTGGCCTAACAGCACGTTTCGTTATAACCTACAAACCAGTTCATGGTTAAAACCATGGGATTGAACAGCGTAGCACTGATCAAAAACACTGCCCTACATTTGTGTTCATGCTAACAGCGTGTTACTGAGACGTTGTTTACTCGCACTGGTATAATCATAGACCTTAGAAAGAGACTTTTAAGGTCTATGGTATAATGCATTTTACCTCACCCCACCCATCATATGTAGTTTTTACCTGCGCAGAAAGATAAAATACAAATACTGCCATGTAGCTACTACAATATTGGCACTACAATTTGAGGACCTAATGATTTTGTGTACGTACTAATTTTTATTTGATTCTTTATTTATTCTAACACTGCAAACAATACCTATTTATCCAATTTTCCATATACATATATTTATTCAACAACACTACAATGATTAAATTAGTGTAAAGTTTAAAATGCTCTAGTCTACTAGTTATATTAATTTTAATAATACATTGTAATTGGTTTACGTCTAGTCAGTTTTTCAATATGCCATATACCCAAAGTGTTGCAATACTCTATTGATATGAAAATCATCAGATTAGTCAGGTGATGTTTTTGGTCATGGAGTGCTGGGTGCATTGTCTAATTCTATTCGTGGGGGTGGGTGAATGGACAATAAGTTAAACTTGTTTTTCACCAGCTGAGAGTGAGGTAATTCAATTATTTTCTCTTCCGCTAACTTCTTCTTCAGTTCCTCTTTTTAAGTAAAAAAAATATATGCTAATTATTGTAAATCTCTTATTGAAGTCCTGAGGATTAAATACTGCGTAATATTTCCGTATTTTTATAATAGAAGTGCAATGCATACATCAAAAATTGTATTAATTGTGTATTAAAATATGAACTTAGTTTAACAAAAGTAATTACATCTTGGGAACCACGTAATATCACATCACCTGACATTATGCTGACGCCATCAAATTTGATTTTCTTGTAGAACTCTGTGGAAATGCCAACAAATTTGCAGTGTGGCTGATGGAATTAATGGACAGTAGTACAGATTTATATCTGTATTACAGTATCATTTTTGTCATACTGTTAAAGTTACTTCATCTGATTGAATATCATTTTACTGAATGTGATTTACTGAAGTATATAAAACACAGAGACTGAACTCTGTCGTTATTTTTTGTAATCAAACTACCATAGGGATCTCAGTAGTAAACGTGGGTGATTGTAGTGGAATGTCTGCATAGTGGATATATCGGTAATAAATAACTAGTAATAAAACTGCTGCAGAATGAAGCAAAATGTAAAGCGTGTTTGATATGGGACCTCCATAGTGGCGTTTACAAAGTGTGTAAAATACATTGCTGTTGACACAAAACTTGAACACAGGTTGCGTGACCACTGCAGTGCTTTAAGCCATTGGAAGGTTCCCGTTTTGAACAATACACTAAATACAAGATCAGAAGTTATTAAAAATAGTATCATTATGGAGAGCAATTACAGACCCATATAAACACGCATTTGTTATTTTATATATTCATGTACATTTAATTAAGCGTTTTTTACTTATCAACGAAAATAAGGAAATTAAAACCCAGTGCAAGTGCATTTACAGTATTATTGTGAGAGAACAGATATGTTAATTCCTTGGAAAACTGCAATGTGTTTGTGGTAATAAACATGGATTTATAAGATGGCAACTCCACAAATGCCGTAGTCTGAATTCATGACTAACTTTTTCAATGTTAAGAGCATGCCCATCCCCCTGCAAATCACCCATGTGTGATGAAGATAATTACTCTAGACTCCTTACAGAAATAGCTCGTTATTACGCTTATTCGTTTGTATTCATTGTCCTGTATTTTATGTCTTACTGCATAGGTTTCAGTCATGTTTGATTTAGTAATTAATTAGTGTCTTCTACCATAGATCTTTCTAAGGTCTATGCTTCTACCTAATGAGGAGATACTAATTTTGGTAATTGTGTTGCATCATGGATCTTAGGTCTATGGTTGCATTACACATTTCAAAACTGATAGATTGACAGTTGTTTGTGCTTACACACGTCTGTCAATTTTGTCATATCTGATTAGATACCAGAAAGTCTGTTTACCTAAGCCTGCTATCATTCACAGATATTTCTAAAAGGAATATGACAATTTGCATGTCCAACTGTTTTATTTTTTGTGTTTATGACTATACTCTTAAAACTAGTTTGCATTCAAGTTTGGGTTTATTGCTCCCTAGATCAAAAAAGAGCGATTCTAGTATTGCATTTGAAATTTAATCTTTGACCTTTTTCTGACCCTGTCTGGTTTTCTGCATGTACTGTTCCACCTGCTTAAAAACTTTGGCAACTATTTTGCAAATTAATTACTGTCTCAAGTTGATAGACACAATATTGGGTCGGCTCCAGTATTGTTGTGAATGTTAAATTTTGTTGCTTTTACTAGTTTGCTGGGATTTTGTATGTACTGTGAAATACTTTATTTTAGCTGGAATTAATTTTCGCTCAAGACTTTTTGGGCGTTTTGTATGGAATTTATTTTCACTAATTTTTGATGAGTTGAATGTGAAATATAGGAAAAAAAGTATATTCACTGGATTTTATTTTCACGGAATCATCCCTTCAGCGAAAACAGCGAAAATAAATTCCAAGCGAAAATAAAGTATTCTACAGTATATATAAAATCTGAAACCCATGCACGTATACACAGAAGAAACTGTAGCATTTATTTTACAATGCCTCATTGTTTGTGTGAATAACACTAACAGCAGCACTGTTAGTTTTAGTGATTGTCAGCATGGGCTATACTAACTGGTTTGATCTTTAAAAAGGGGTCCATGAATATGTGATATTTTAAATAGGTCACATCCATGATGCTATTACTGGAAGTAAGCTGACTGTTGGTATGCATCTTGACACATGGGAATATTTATAGCTGCACGTAGTATTCTCGTAATTTTCCATACTATATGGCAAATTCTACCATCCCTCCTTTGAGATACACTCAAGACTATTTTCTGGTATTTAAAACCTGTTTTAGTAATCAATGACTCTATTTTAATTATTGTATGTTAAATATCATGTAATTACTTTGGTATCTGACATGTATCAATGGTATCAAACATGCAGCGTTCATGAAACTTGTACTAGATTATTTGGATGCTTGTCAATTATTGAGGAGGTTATTTGATATTAATACCATTGCGGTGGTGTGTATTCATGACCTCATCCTAATAGTCTGGTATTCTTTGCAGACAAATTTAGAGTCATCTCCTTCAAAATTATCAGATGTTGAATCATTCAGTTTATGTGATATTTTAAGTTTCACTGCCATTTCTGCTGTACTGTTGGTAGGAATTTCAAAGCATCTACTACCAATTACGGTATGAAATTTGTTATGACTATTTCCATTCAAGCAAAGAATAATGCTGCTGCATACTACATATACTATTAGTCCATTTGCTAGCATGAGCATACAGTATATGCATTGTACCAGAGTCTAAATAGAAATTGTTTAAGCTGTATTGGGTGGGAGGGCCTTTTATAGATGAACAGGGAGTTTACATAATGTAAAATTTGTAATGACACTGAACAATCAAAGTGTGCAAAATTAAAGGTAGGCTTTACATTATAAATTTAAAAACTACATTTCACTAAGTATATCACATACGTGCTATTGCGACTGTATTGTACTTGACCGTGTTAGCACCCAGGGTTCTCAACCTGAGCACCCCCCTTCGCAAATGACAATTTTAATTCACTGTGTGACAGATTGAGGGGGATATTACGTCTTTGAGGGAAAATGAAATTAGGTGCGTCGTCATTTACTCTTACAATGAAGAAACAAAAAATGGTCACAACAAATATGCACATTTTATTACAATATTAATTACGTACCACCCAAATTTACAAGATTAAAAATATTAGTCTGTTGGAACACAGTCGAAGTCAAAATCTTCATTATTATCGCCACTGACGAATTCAAAAGGGAATAATTAGCATAACTCAAATGGTGTTAATTAAAAACCTTCATTTATTTTGTTTGTCTGATTAACATGAGATAATTAAATTATTCATAGGACAACAAATTGTTTACAAATTATTGCCATGTGTTACATATGTACATGTTCTTTTGTATTTTTCAGGTTTAAGCTTGTTTACTGGATTTTTGTTCTTCATGGTATTGGGACCTTATTACCATGGAATATGTTTATAACAGCTGAAGCTGTAAGTATCATAATGCTACTGCCTCAGGGGTTAAACAGAAAAGACTCTCAGGGGGGGATCTGCACAAAGATTATTTTTAAATCAAAGAAAGCTTAGAAAGAACTCCCATGTGCTGAGAGTATTGGAGACACATTAAATATAATTCGAAATTACTTAGCTGAAAACTAATTATGCAAATCAGAAAATTAATATGACCAGATTTGAGTGTAAAACTAATGAGGTCTGCGCAATGTAACAGAAAATCTATGTCTCCAAGTTTAATTGAAATGTGATTAGAACCAAAAAATTATGAATTATTATGCTTATTAGGGAATTAATATGAACAGATTTTTACCCCAAACTAATTAGGTTTGTACATTGTCCTAGAGCATCTTTGTACTAAGTTTCATTGAAATGGAATAATTAGTACCGTGAAAACTCCAAAATTTCGACCCCTCTAAAAATTCGATTAGCTATTTATTTGCCGGGTTTCGGTGTTTTATTTACCTCCAAATTTTCGACTCCACTAAAAATTGCCGACTCATTCTTATTCGAAAATTGCGACCAGTTTTAGTTTTCCCCCAAACGAAAAAAAAAACCGATGTGAGCGTTCAAACGGGACCTTCCTCGAAGGCATGAATCCGGGTTTCTGATTGACTGAGAGATTTTTATTTTATTGGTAACGAAAATATATTCTAAATAAACGAAGTTTCAAATAAAAACGAACACAAAAATCTCGGCATGCTGCGTTTCTGAATTGTTGATTATTACTGTACTCAGTAGTGATTATAATAATGTACACAAAATAAATTTGTTGAATGGTTATGAAATACAAATAAAAGTCAACTTAGTTTCATCGTAAGCGAATGATTCCGGTCTCGTATAAACGTTTGATGCTGTAGGATATCCGCCATGTTCTCTTAGGTCAAATAGGTCAAATCGCTAATTAACCAATCAAAAAGCTGGATGATGCCAACGTGTTCAAATTACCATAGCTTATTTAAATATGTTAATGTTATTGAACGCAATGCGAAGAGATTGATGTTGTAGTACGATATTTTGGCTTGGATTTGATGCGAAACGGCATGATTTTTTTTTAAATAAAAAAATTAGTTGTTTTAAAAAATAA